TCTGACGCGTCTGCCTCCGCGACCCGAAAGGAGAAGCGGCGATGGAAGATGAAGATGAAGATGAAGATTCGAATATAAGTCTGACTGGTCTGACATGCTAGCAACTTTGTACGCCGTTACTAAGAAAATCACTTTAAACAGGTAACATGCCTTATCCGCCTAATCGGTTTAAGTCCGTAAGGCCAGTAACTTATACTTCACCTATGTGAACAGACAAAGGCAGTGACGATGATAAAGAAGGTAACAATAACATTAATGAATGCAGTGATAAGTAAGAAGAGTCTGATGGCAGAAATTATTATATTAAAGCAGACGTTACCATGAAACGAAAATGGTAACTGCTAGAAAAAGTATTCGGATTACAAAAAGCATATAAGACAACGATAAAGGCCAAAACAACTAAAGTCGTAGATATTAATATTAGAATCACTGAAAACGCAAGAGTATTTGTCATATTAATATTTCGATTAATTTTTGGGCCCCCGGCAGTTTCATTGTCGTACCATTCAGTGCTGACAACAACCACCATTACTTAAACAAAAAATTTGATTGATTCACTGCTAACAAGACATAGTCAACATCAAGAACATTACGACATTAACGATAGTGGTGACAGCCAGGACCATATAATGTTCTGACCACTACTAAGGCATAATAATATTGACGATAATGATTCAAATGAGATGACAAGGAAACCGAAGCAAAAGAGGAGAAAACGAATCAAACGATTCATAGTCAACTGACAGTAGCATAATGATAACTAACACTGAGTTAAAAAACAAAACTCAAGTTTAGTTTGTGCTGATTTTAAGCAGATAATGACTGACTAAATGAAAATGAGGAGAAAAAAGATGATGAGCGACGACGACAACCTTCAGTAATGAATAGGCCTTTTTGCTGATATGAAAACGTAAGATCTAGCACAAGAACGGACATCGAATTCAAAATTTTAAGACAGAAGGAAATTCTAAATGCTTTACTGCGAAACGACGTCTCCCACCAACAGAACGACATTATCCATCACCAGGGGGTAATGAGTCAGGAAAGTACCCATGACATTTAAAATGACAAGAGTTTAAGAAAGCGTGAGTGAATTTTTTTAACACTGCCGATAAACATAATAACCAACAGCCATGACTGTCGTTCAAAAATGGAAAATGATTCAAGTCGTTGATACTGGAAAAGTAATGATCCTGTGGACTGTCTGAAAAAACAACGTGTGCGTAGCCTACGTTAATCACTATACAATCTGTAATATACACGCCAAAGAATAATGTGAGGGGAAGGCAGTCTTCTTGCTTCTTGCACAGAAGTTGTTGATAGTAATGGGGAGGGGGAGAGAAGGGGAGGGGGCAAAAACTCCGTTTGTCCTGATAATCACAAATTTTGTTTTAACGTTAAAGCATCGGCTTCAACTTCAACATACTCTTCGACATCACTGAATTTGAAGAATTTTCATCATTTCCTGCGGAGATGAAGAAATACGCCCCGACGAAAATTAGAATGGAAAAAGTTAGACTTAATATTTTATCAAATAAACACGCCACATAATAATGAGACGAGTGTGAGATTCTCTAAGTTACATTTCAACTGATCTATTTAAAATTAATTGAGAACAAAACCGAATAATAAAAGATGAGCATCACTGAAACACTATTCCAGTGCACTCTTACGAAAATCGAAAAGGTGAATATTCGATATCACTGGCTGGCAGCTGTGACGTTCATCTTCTATCAATAAAGCGCATTTTAACCAGGAAAATAGAATCATCTAAGAACCTCAATGAATATCAAAAGCAACGCAAATAATTGAATATACTTACGATCGAGGCCACCAAGATAGCACATGGTTATTTCGCAATGTCCCCACACGGCAGAGATGACAGGATACAATTTCTTACCCTTCAGACCATGAAAGGCAGTTCCCAGAAACTCGGTACGGGTACCAAAGCATAATGTACCTTCGTCCATATCCAAAATCATTAGGAATGTATCGGGAACAACAAAGTTCTGACCAGTGACCAGCGATGCTGGATAGGTGACGGAAGAATGACATTTCTTTGCGTTGTGATATAATTTATTACGACCGATATCCCATCCCCATGAATCGGCCGTAAGACCAACCAACGAGCAGTAGCCCATCGAATGCAAAGGAGCAACTTTCGTTGCGACGCCAACCACAGCATGCGTTCCGCGCTGTCTCATCGGCCACGTCATTTCGAATACATGAAAGCCGCGTGTGTAACCGATCTTACTACGGATGCCGTCCGTACTTTGTGCGACCGGATGCCGATGAAATGTCAGTTTATCCTCTTCTTTAATAAAAATATTAAAACTTCGATCATCGGGATTCCATGAATGTGCTTCCTTAAAATATACCATGACAGACATACGGATATGTGATTAAGCTACATCGATTAAGTATGAATCACACGATGGACAGAGCATGAAAGTAATGTACTAAAGGAGAAAATATACCAGCACTTGATCCTGCATCAGATTTTTTATGTCCAAAAAGCATCTTACATTTTGTATATTTACATGTATACCCAATTTCCTCAATCAACCGATTGGGGGAAGTGGCGGGATGTATTAGCAAGCTGTTTTGTACTTTAGAGTGCCGAGTTCACATCCAAAGCACGGTATGCATTTTCTCTAATTAACTGATAATTCCTCAGAGCAAGGAATTTGTCTCACCGTGTTTAGGTCAAGTAGCCAAAAAACGATACTAGGATTACTGACCTGTGATTATCACGGAAAGCACGGTGCCCTGGTGTGGTGATACAGAAGTAAGCAAGACATAAGTTATGCTGTGACTTGACCAATCTGATAGCTTTTCAAAAATCAATAATAAGTGTATACGTAAATTTAAATTTAAAACTTCATTTGTTGTTTAAATATGCATAATTAATACGCCACTATTAGTTTACCGAAACAAGTCATTACCTCGTAATTAATACGTACCCCATTAATTCATGTCATTACTTGACCTACTCCTACTTCTAAAGAATTAGTGGCATATAGGAGGATCATGATTTTGTGGTATGTAGCTGCAGAGCTTTAGTGCAAATCATAGCATTCTTACTGGCTAAACTAACACGTTTCCTGCCAAGCATTAGGTACCATAAACATATTTCCAAAAGAATGAGTTACACAATACTTTCACTGTAAATCGAACGGAACAGGATGAACATTATTAAGAAATTCTCGGTACGGAATCCTCATATTTGCATATTATGATTTAAAAGACTTTCTTAAAAAGTCATTCACAACTTCGCTCACTAAACAGAAGCTATCCATTCAAAGAGTCACTTTCTGCCAGAAAAAAACGGGCCAATCACCAACTTCTTCCATCACACTCAATTCCAGGATTTTTTCAGGTAAAAGCTGCTTTCCAAAACAGTGTTTTCGAAATAGACGCAAATATGGAACTCCTTTAAAACCGCTTGATGCAAAATATATCAACCTCATTGTAAATCTAACAGATTTAATGTTGAATGATTACAAGAATCATGAAGGCTGGTACCTCAATGAAACGAAATTAAAAAAAAAAGATGGATGAGTGCAAATAAGTAAATATTGCCATTTATTTCAAAGAAAGCTATAACAGAAACTGAATTCTGGAATGGAAGAACACACTACACAGAACAAATAAATCGACGGTTGGAGTGCGGCTGTATCAACGGTAAAAAAGTTATACTCAACGGTGAGGGCGCCATAATCATCATAAACAAGCTGTCCTCCATATTACTATAATAAACGATTTCCAGATATTTTATCTTATCTCAGTACAAGCCATTCTTCTCGAAAATTTGAACCTATATTTAATATCCAAAATGTCTTTCTTCAGTTCATATGGCATAATCTTCCTTCCTTTGCATCAAATGGCGACTGCGTTCCCGTACAACCAAAAAGATGGCAGACTGCACCCAAAAACAATGAAAATAAACTTAATTTATTACAAGAGTGAAAAATAACTTTTGTCTGCAAAATAAAATTTTTAGGAACAAAAAACTTTACATAAACTTTCAGCTAAATACAGTTTTTTTTCACAATCAAAAAGACTGTTATTCAATGTAGTCTTCCATTATCTGATATCTAGATAATGACTGAATCTGATATTAAATGCCTTTCAGACATCTCAACAGCACACCTTTTCATTACATGAATAATTTAGGAAGGCACCGACCACAGTTAAAGCAGCAAAAAAATTCACGACTTAAAGATTTGCCTGCTTTAGAAATTATAAACATTATTACCATGATGTTAAGGTGGTATTTAATTACTAGTTAAGGTAATACTTTTAAACGTCTGATATCAAAATAACGATTGCGAAAGTTTTAACGAATACCAGCTGAGTCCGAAATTTTTGTTGGCTGCAAACTATGGATATGTATGTGAACACCTAGAGCCATATGTGACCAGGGAATCAAATGGGAAACATTATCTTCTGCGGATAAGACAGTGAAACTTCCAATCATTATACGCTGCTCCAAACAGTTACCGGTGATCATGAATGACCTAAACGTCAATCGTAAGCTCCTTGAAGAGAGCCCCGAGGCGACTATCGATGCTGCAGCTTAAAGCATTGGGCTGCCGCCTATGAACCAAAAAGGAGCCTCCTTGTGGTCCTCATAGGTTCAACTGACCGTCAGCGATAAAACGTCCGCATTCAAGAACTGTATCAGAGGCAAAACGCCTTTAACTTGAATACGGTTCAAAGAAGAGCACAATGCTGCAGTTGCAGAAACTTCCTTGAGATTGGGCAGTCAATTTCCTGACGGCAAACAAAGTATTTTGGCATATCATCCGCATCTTCTGAGATAAAAAATGTATTGTCTTGTATCTGGAAAGACAAATGCAGAAACTTACTTCAAACCTAACAGGATATACTTTAGCGATGGCGAGAACACTTTTTGAGGAACTTATTTAGCTCGAGCAAGGGCATCAAGACTCATCTGAAAAGTATCAGAAAATGGATATTAATTTTTCAGTAAATAAGCTGTAAAATCATAGGTGGCATCTGCTGAAGTCTACAAAATAGGTCATGAAAAAATTAAATATTTATGTGAAGTTACTCGAAAGGCTGCATGTTTTTTTCAACCGCAATCGCGACGGTAGCACCGCAGCGGACTGGAGAACGGCAGTTGTTGTCTCACACGGGTTCAACAAGGGAATTCAAGTGCTACGATTTTAATGGTATTACTTCCGTAAACCTCCTTGGAAAATTATACGCGAAGCTGCTGGACAAAAGATACCGAGAACAGTTAACTCAAAAAATCAAGAAGCTTAACAGACTGCCCTTTAGCTTAGGCCGAAGCACAACTGACCAGATATTCTCTCAATACCAGATTGCTGAGAAATCGTGGGAATTCGCCCATTCGATGCATATTTCCTTAGTAAGCATAGAGAAAGCCTATGATTGGATCCTACACAACAATCTACGGATGTCTGCGAAAACACGGGATCGATGGCAGTTGCTACCGGCCATCCAATCACTGTAATCTGATAGCTGGTGCTGCGTCTGTGTAAACTGCGTCATGTCCAGACGCTTCATCGCTGGAACCGGTCTCCGTGGCATCGGTCCCGTATATCAGGGAAGAAGATGTGGAGATGTTAAGATTGTTGTTTGCAGACGACCTTGTTTTATTGGCATCTTCTGAAACTGATCTACATTGCTCAAAGGAAAGGTTCGCAGCCCAGTGCGACATGACCGATATGCATGTGAACGTGCCTAAAAGCAAAGCCTACTGCTTTCTGATTCTCCTGTGCGTTGCTCTCTTCAGATTGAAGGAGAGGCAGTGGAGCAGGTGGAGACGTTCAGTACCTCAGAGTCGCATGTACTAGTGATGGAACATTTGAGGAAGAGATCGACCGGCGAATTGGAGTAGCCAGTGGCGTTCTGCGTGAACTAGCCTGGTCCATTGTGACTAAAGCAGATGTCAGTCTGAAAACTAAGCTCTCAGTGTTCAAGTCGATCTTTGTCCCCATGGCAACCTACGGTCATGAGTCGTGGGCCATCACTGAAAAACTTCGAACCCGGGTACAAGCTGCTGAAATGGGCTTTCTGAGACGAGTCGCTAGCCTTAGGCGCTTCGACATGGTCCGGAATATCTGATATCCGGAAGAGCCTTGGTATACAACCTTTGCTTCTCCAGATTGAGCAGTCACACTGCGATGGTTTGGGCACGTGTTGCGAGTGCCTGCAGAAAGGAAGCAGAAACAACCGGTACTTGCTCAACCGTCAGACCGCTTTGCGAGGAAGACCAAGAATAACCGGTACCTGGACGAAATTTGCTCGAGAGCGATTATCTTCTGCCGAAGTTCAAACGCTGACGTAGGTTCGCAAACGGAGCCACTTGGTGAATAAGCTACCTTAGCGTGAGCCAAAAGGATAGCAGCGAACAGAGCTGACTGACTGACTCTTACAGCCATTGCTTTCAAGGGCTGACTGAAAATTTCTCAAATCGCCGCACCAACCATAACAGACCTAAGTTAGAAGGCAATTTAGAGCCTGAGGGATTTAAGACTTATGACCGATAATGCTCTGCCAATTGTAAGATCAATCTAATTATTACCCCCATTGGTGCTACAAAGCCTACTGCTGATAATCTAGCCCTAAGATAAAATCATTAGTCATTAAAATTAGTGCTATTTAAAACATTTACTTCATAATTACCTATTAATCCGATCATATAAACTTAAACTGAGATAAAAATTTGAAAAGAAATATGAATTATTTTGTCTTCCCTTCGTTTAAATGAGCTGTCCTGACATGGCAAGTAACGACAGTTATTAAAAGGCGAGAAAAATCGCCTTCCCGGTGGAAAGAAGTGTGAAGAACATGTGACGTTGAACAAAAATAAAACGTGATACACATACCTGAATTTCTTTGGGCAATGGAGGGAGACTGAGCACCGTGTCAAGACGACTTGGACGGATGAAATCCTGACACAGATCCAAATCCGAGGGAAAGTTCTGCGCAACCGTTCGTCGATAGGCTTCGGATAACAACGCCGAATCTCCATGAACAGCAAGACAGCTGTTACCACGACTAGCAGCACCGGATATCATTTGGCCCATCGTCATGAGATTCGGCTTTACATGTGCCGAGCGTTGTTCAGGTTCTAAAAAGCTACTTAATTAACATAACTAACAAGCTGGTTAAATGGTCAAATAAAAAACAAAATTTCCAACTGCACAAAGCCAAAAAACTGCTAGCACAAAAGTTGAGGCCTTACATAAAGAAATCATGAAAAGGAATAATTTTTCAACAAATATAATGAATATGACAAGAAAAACGGTATTCACTTAAATTACGGTAAGCTCATGCAAGAGATTTAAAGAGTCACAGCGAAGCAAAGTAAAGGAATTTGTTGTTAATTTAAACCGAACGCCCTTCCGTCTTCTGTAAGGACATATTTTTATATGCAAATGCGGATGAAGCATCATCCTGGAAACTGGCTCTTTCTCTCAACGGCCATAGTTTGTACGCTGGCTGATGAATTCTTCGCGCTGCGGTCAATTAAGGTACGTCTTTTAATAAATGGTCGGGGCTAAAGCCACTGCCGGATTAAGAGAGAGCAGCCAATGCAAATACTTCGTACGAACTACAACCGCTGTTGATGCACAAGGAGGCATGATCTTCAACTTAAGACTTTGATGACGTTTCCCAAGACTGAGTATTTCGTTCCTGCGTTGACGATCATACAGAAACAGCATAAAACACCGCCACCGCCTATTTATACACAGTACAAACGATATGATCAATAGGACGATTGACGAGTACCGACATTCTGACTCTTATCTTAGGTAGGAAGTTGACTGAGTTTTAAAGGCGTTTCTTGTTGTCTGCAACGACTGGTAGATTTGGAGTAATGAAGGCAAACTTCCGTTCCGTGCTGCTGATCAAACAGATCCTTAGCGATAGGAGCGACAAGGCTAATCGAATCCGCACAAAGTTCGCATAAGGTTGACACTCTCGCAGGACTGGATAATTAATGGCTGAAGCGCCTGTTCAGTCACTGCCATTCTTTGATGATGACTGTAGAATCTGATTATAGGAGGGGGAGGCCAGTTCAATGGAACTACTGAGCTTCATACTTTTACTGCTTACCTAAAATATATGAACCTATTGTTTCCTTCATACCGAGTGAAGTGTCTTCCGCACAGAATTGGAAATTGACTACTAAAATACTAAGACTGCAAAAAAACCTGTCATACACCAAATATCGCAGTTTTGCAAGAAAATGAAAGTTATTAAGCCATGCGATAGGAGCATTATGGTCAGCTACGATTCTAAATATCTATTTCTAATCTCTCAGCTAACTCTGTCATAAAGTTCATGACCTTTTGCACTGAAGAAGTGGATAACTTTTCCTTAATGGTAGTTTCTTCAAACAAACGAATTAAAAATTCACTTTCGCATACATTTGTCGAAATTTTCCTGGATTACACGAATCCAGACCTGTTTTCAACGGTTTTAAAAAAATATATTGACGATATTTTTGTTATATGTTCGCCGTAACGAAAATAAAATAGATTTCTTCAACAGCCTATTTTCTCAAAATATCGAGCGAACCGTTGAAAGAACAAAATTCTGTTCTACCATCTTGAACGCCTTAACAACAAATTCTGGTAATTGCTAAAAAACTTTCAAAAAACTTTAATCGGTACTACGCATAATGTGCCTATTGTGAAGCTGTTTCGGATGTGGTCCTTTCTGTTGACCGACACTTACATCTGAGCATTTTCACTTCTACCGAATTCAGTTGTTGCTCAAGTCTCTTCAGGGTAGCCGAATGTTCCGTTCTGTAAGGAAGCCCTGGTCTTATTATCGTTTTGCACATCTTGTCCTACAGTTCGATTTGCATCTTCACCTCTATAACTTCTCCCATTTAAGCTATGTGTCTTCAGACCGATTTCTTAATTCAATGTTGATTTCGCAATTGTCTTGAAGAAGGAACCCAGATATTTCAATTCCAGGTTTCGAGGCAGCATGCTTTCTACTTTAAGTGATTTGTTGATTTTCATTCTGTTCTTCTCACTGAAATAAAGAAATATATTTTTAATTCACCTCCGCTTAGCGGAAGGCTATTGTTTCAAACGAATGTTTTTCAACTTCTCTTCTTTGCACAGCTTCTGCTAGCTCCATACCTTTACCCTTCTTTGTCCCAATGATTCAAGTGACCATTTGC